CCGGGCCGGGCCGGGCTAGGCTAGGCTAGGCTAGGCTAGACTAGCTTTGTTATTAGGCTATCTCAACCATAACTTCTTACCAGCTATGTACTTTGGGCAAATGTTCTGCATCCTAAGAGCCTCAGTGTATTATTTGAGGGTTTTTTTGTTGTTGTTTATTTGTTTGTTTGTTTTTGTGAAACAGGATTGAATCAGGCCCTTGCACTTGCCAGGGAAGTGCTTATTCTACTGAGCCATCTCCCTGGCCCCCAAATTATTATCTACAAAGCTAGGATAATAACATCTTCTCTACAAGATTATTGTGAAGAATTAAATTAATGGTTAGCACATTGCATGGTCAACTGTAGATACCTAGTAAATGGCTATTACTTTAATAGCAATACTTTTACAGACTACAGCCATCTCTCTAACATTGCTAAAGAGTATATTATAGATAAGTAAGAAAAAGTCTCAGATTTTGTATGGCCATAGCACTTCTCAGTTAGGCGAAAATTGGTGTATATATTGGGTATAGGCTAATATTCCTTTATATAAAATTATGCAAATCAAAATCCTTTCCAAAGTCCAAAAGAGTTTTCATAAGTCATTTGGCAGCAAAATATGACCCGGACTCATTAATCCATTAAATCCTGGGCTGAACTAAAATGAGGTCTTTTTTTCACTCTGTAAATTTTCAGATTTCACTGTTAAATTAATGTTTTCTTAAGAAGTGCTACACTAGTCCCTTTCGGAGGTGCTACATATATATATATATAGTACATGCTCTACCTTACAATTCTAAGATCTCAAAAGTTCTGAAGTTTGAAACATGACTGGTGTCAAGACATCGAATCCATACTTAACTTTGTTCATTTACTACACTTAAGGAATTAAATTGCATCACAATTTCTGCAACTCTTTAGAATCCCAGAAGAATGTAGAAGAAATTTGCCATAAGTACTATATGAAGCTACGATCTGGCCTTACCATAGAAAAGAAAGCCTGCTACTTTAGGAAAGAAATCACCAAAACGTGTACAATCAAAACAGGTAAGAGAAACTGCATTTCCTACAAATAGAAATAAGCATCTATGTGTCTTCATTGACCAAATCTGAGTACATTATTTCTTTTCCTCATCCACATTTTGCTTGGAGAAAGGGTAAAAATGATGAATTTTTATTGGTCATTTCAAAAAGTATATATTAAGCTTTTAATAACATGAGAGAAATGGTTGTTATAATGTTAAGCAAAACCAGAGGATACAATAATATGTATAAATGTGTTTGCAATATTTTTTCAATTTGACAGAAGTAAACTAAAAGGTTGATAGTGGCTGTTGAGTGTTGCAAGCATGGGTGACCAGCTTTTTCCTCATAGTACGGTCTTCTGAGGTATGAGTGAGCAGGAGGTATTGACTCTGCCAAACCGTGGAGTGGCCAGAGCCCTGCCCAGCTACCACAGCCAGCAAGCAAGTGGCAGCTGCAGATCATCAAAAGGCCCCGGAGACTGATGATTCACCCATACCCTCGTCTTGTTTGCAGGTGAAAAGCACACAAGAAAATACAAAGTACTTGCTGCCTGTGCACAGCCTACTCTAAACCGCTCTTTCTTTAAAGCACATGTGCGCCAAGAATCTACTTCAGCACTAAGCACACCAAGTATTGGAGGTATGTGGGGTCACAGCAGAGGAATGCAAGGGAGGGAGGAGTAACCCTCAGGACCCTAGCAAATGCTACTCCTGCTGGTAGCTCCTATAGTAGCTCTTAATCTGTGTCTTCACATGCACCAGACAGTTCTGCCCATCTGCTGCTGGAGCGTCCCCTTAGTGGTATTCAACCGAGCTGGCCTAAGAATGTGCACACAGGCTGTGGTTAGCACTGCATCATTACACTCAAGTGCCTGTCACAGTATAGGCTGGAACTTCACATGCTATGTTCCTGACGGAAATATGGGATGTGATCAAATTATACAGTGAATGTTTACATATTTTTAAAAAATTACGGTAAAACATGGTGATTAACCTCCTCTCAAAAACCTCCTTACATTAGAAGCGCACATGGAAATTCAATATTTAACACTCTTTTGTATATTTTAAAAGTATAATTCTATAATGTCAAGAAGAAATAGTGGCTTTTCTTCTTTTATACTATGTATTTTGCAGTATTGGGGATTGATTCCAGTGCTCCCGTACTGAGGAACATCTCCAGCTCTTTTTTATTTTGAGACAGGGTCTTGCCAAATTGCTAGATGCCCAGGCTGTGTGCTAACTTGTGATCTTCCTGCCCCAGGCTCCCAGGGTGCTCATGTTACAGGTGTACACCAGGCTCAGGTAAAATACACTGATTCCACAGGCCCTACGTAGGTGGCCATAATCCACTTCTGTTTATTCCAACAGGCCTTAAAAATTTATTATTATCCCAGCAGGCTTTAAAAATTTATTAACTTTGTAACAGTTAAAAAGTTAGGAGTACTGCTTTAAGTATACCTGAGCTGGAGTCAACAATTAGGTTTACATCTGCACTTTCATGGGTTGTTAGGTGTCCTAAATCACTATCAATTTAGAGTCCTTTCTCTCCCACAGACCCCTACCCCGTGGGGCCAGGAATGGAGGTTTCCACAGGCAATGCCTGGCACTTTTTCAGCTTCTTTGTCCCCATCTAACCTTCCCATAGGCACTAACATGGCCTCCTGGGGCATTCACTTGGGACACTAGCACCTTTAGATCTCAGCATTTTGACTAAGTAAAGCTTATGCCAAAGTATAGCTCAAGGGGCTGATGAGATAGCTAAATGGTCTAAAGCACCTACTTAGGCAAACTTAGGCGAAGCACAGGGACTGTGGTTTGATCCCTGGCACCACATGTGGCACCAGCTCTGCCCCCAGAGCTGACTGAGCCAACCACAAACAAAAAGTATAGTTCAATTTTGAAAAAAAAATATGTCCCTTGTGAAGGACTTCAAAAAATATTTTGCCAAAAGAATTGCTCATGGGAACGACTTCTTCAAATTCTTTTTTTTTTTAATCATATGAAAAAAGGTAAAATAAAATTTCATGACAAAATCATAAGAGAATAACAATAGCTAATACATTACACATTGTTGTCTTTAAAGTAGTTGCTCAGGGTACAAGACATTGGCATAAAAATTTCTCCAATCACTATCAGCACAAGCCTCCTTTTTAATAAACTAAGAGACACTAATAGAATAACTGACCTGTATGTTTTTCTTTTCCCTATGGTCCTTGCCCCTCTCACCTGTCCTATTCCTTTTCTCCTTTTGAACAATTTCTTCTTGTTTTACAATATCTATTGTACATTTTAAACATTATTCACTCTTTCAATTTCTCATGCCTGGGAGGTAAAAAGATGTTAACACATGTAGGTCTGATTTATTTCACTTATGAGTATGGTTTCTAGTTGCATCCATTTACCTATAAAAGTCTCCAGTTTATCTTTCTTTATGGCTGAGTAGTATAAAAAACCACATTTCTTTATCCATTCCTCGGTTGATGAGTACTTGGTTTGTTTCTGACAAATTGTGCTGATAAAGATCTAATTCTTTATAATAGGAATTCCACTTATTGAAGAATCTTGTGCTTCCCTAAGTACATACAATGACCAATCCATTAGTTTTGTTCAGGAGGATGGAAGTTATGTGATCATTGTTGAAGACTTGGGAGAAGATCAAGAAAAAGGTAGAACATTTCCTTATGTCTATAATTATGCAAATTATGACTGGAAAATTAAACATTGCATCTGTCAGACCATCAACAATGAACTAACTCAGTTGTAACAAATAGGTTCCATGCTCCATGCTAAGTCATTTCAATGCATTGGCAGTGACTGTCTGCAAATCCCTGCCTTGAGAAGCATTCAGTGCTTTAGTTAGTTCTTCAGGTAAAAATATAGACATTGATAACTGTGTCTGTTGGGAAATATGGAATGGGGGACCACACGTGGTATTTATTGGTAAATGACCCCCATGGGTCTTTCCAGCTTTATTGACATCACCAATGTACACTCTTTAGTTAAGGAATATGCCATTGGGGGTGCTGGGGAGATAGCTCAGTGGAATAAGCACTTGCCTGGCAAGTGCAGGGGCCTGAGTTCAATCCCTGGTTCCACCAAAAAAAAAAAAAATACATCATTGCTATAAGCAATATTTTAAATATTTTAATAACTATTCTGAAGAATTCATCAGTGTGTACTCACTTTTTGAGATCTTTCTCAGAACCACAAAAGTTTTGCTTTTGTTGGTATATACTAAAAGAGGATATTTTCTGGCAATATGTATTTTACATGATAGAGTTGATTTTTTTTATAAAATTACATGTGCCGAAGTAATTTGATGTATCTTCTTTCAGACAAGGTACGATTGCGTTACTATGAGTCTCAATTACCCTCAAAAGAATCAGGTAATTTGGAGGCCTGGTGGGCTACAATGTTTAAATTCTTAACTTTGAGGTAAAGATAAATCCAAAATATCTGTGGGAAAGGAAGACAGTTTCATAATGTTCTCTCTAACACAAATCCATGGTAAATTTTTAGATTCAAGAGAATTTATTCTATCTTGTCAACTTTTAGAGTAATAGGATAAAGGTTTGGCTATGTGTGATAAGTATCTCTGTTAGCCAGGGCTGGAATGACAGTTCTGCTCAGAGGTTGTCTGCAGATGGAGCTGCTTCGACTCTGTAGCTCTGCCAGCATCTACATGCCAGTAGTTCAAGGCTTCCTGCCACCTTAACCATGTCTAAATAGCAGGGGAAGACAGATACATGCAGTCTCGTTCCCTTACAGCTGGAAGTGGCATCCAGCACTTTCATTCATCTCTCACTGGGCAGAACTTGATCTTGTGGCTACGATTAGCCACAAGAAGGCAGGCTAAGAAAGGTTCTGTTATTATATAAAAAGAGGAGGTGAGGCTGGGGAGATGGCTCAGTAGAAAAAGTGCTTCCCTGGCGAGCGCAAGGGCCTCAGTTCAATCCCCAGTTCTGCCAAAAAAAAAAAGAGGAGGTAATTATTGGAGTACAACTATCATTGGCTTTACTGGCAGGCTGGCAAGCTGGTGTCCAGGGAAGTGCCCATTAGATTTGCAATTATCTAATTGGAAAACATATTTTAAAAACTAACTGCCCTCCTGTAAGGGATGTAGACGTTCCTCTACTTGTCTAACAATGACTCATTCCATTTGGTTGCAAATATTAATAAGTGAAGAATGTGGTGATTTTGATTCACATCTTAGACCTTACCTTAGTGTTAAATTAACTTCATAATTTATAATTTCTTTTTTCTTAATTTTAAGTGACAGATAAAATGATATACATGTAGACATTGTGTGTGATAAGAATTTTTGAAGTGGGGGCATATGCACTGCGGGATGGTTAAATCAAGCTAATGAACAAATGCATCACCGCACATAATCCTCTTGTGATTGCAAGGTGATGAAGTTGATGGCAAGCTGCTGATGGTCAACATGAGTCCTACAAAAGACAAAGACGTCTGGCTGCATGCCAACAAGAAGGAGCATTCCGTGGAGGTAACACAGATGTGATTATAGAATTGTCGCTGGTTACAAATATTTATGTATATTTGAGTTTTGTACTGGGAGTATCTCAAAGGAGTTTCCTGTGTGCTGGTGTAAATAAAACAGTTACAAGTACTGGCTTGCTTCTTGAGTAGGGAAGAAACAAGAGTGTAACACTGTATGTGACCTCCCTGCTCGAGTCTGATCTCTAAGAGCTGCACAGAATCACCTGGAAACTCGTTAGAAATGCAGGATCTCAAGCTCCCCCTGCCTGAATCAGAATTTCAGTATTCTAATGAGTTTCCAGGAGATTCATAATTTCATTAAAGTTTGAAAAGTGCTCCTATATAGGATGACCTCAGATTCTTTCTTTTCGGTGTTAGGACATGAATTACGTTCTTCTAGGAAGTTTATTAGTGGAAGATCTTCATGCTCCGAGTTTGTTAGAGGGAAAGTAGCAAACCTTTCCGGGGTCATGATTTATGGATAGAATAAAAAAAATCTGCACTCCAACCACTGAATTCACGGCATGCTTTTTACTTAGTAAATGGCATTATCATATTGGTCATGACAAGGAATTATTATTATTTTTTTTATAATTTTTTTAACATTTATTTAGTGTGTGTGTGTGTGTGTGTGTGTGTGTGTGTGTGTGTCCAGCTCAGCCCACCAGGGGGTGGGGCTGGCTGGCATGTGGTGCTGGGGGATCGAACCTGCGGTCCCTGTGCTTTGCCAAGCTTGTTCCAAGTAGGTGCTTTAGACCACTGAGCCATCTCTCCAGCCCCGACAAGGAATTATTAATATCTTGATGAATAAGCCAAAGATAGAAGCAAAGAGGAAAACATGAAAGTATAATATATAAGATACATGAATACACAGCAATTATAAAGATAATGCAATCATCTAAGGCATTACTATACAATGCACAGGAACCAGCATTTTCATTAACAAAATAGTCCTAAATGTACAAAATACAGTGTGTAGCATATATGACTACTCAGTAACAAAGATAACTCCTACTGAGTTCTATACCAATCACTTGCTAACTACTTTAGAAACACTATTACTTAATTCTGACAGCACACCTATGATGACGTAATTATACTGGTCAGCTACTGCTGTGTAATAAACTATCCCTAAAATTTAGTAGCTTGGAATGCTAATCATTTATATGAATCCTATATCTATAGGTTAAATTGGAAGTTAACTGATCTATAAAGCTGATTGTATTGGGCTGCAGAGATGGATCAGCAGCTTAAGCATCTGCCTGGCAAGAGCAAGGTCCTGAGTTCAATCCCCACTACCAGAAGTAAATAAATAAATAAATAAATAAATAAATAAACTAAAAACTTGGCCCTTGAGAAGGAAAACAAAGTACCTAAGGTGTTAGAGACAGTACATGGCAAAAGAAGGGCACAAATTCAAAAGTGCCACATCCAGATCCAGCCACTCTAAGATATTTTGCCCCTTTAAATATATTTGCTGTCAATGGACCAGTTTAATCCTGTGCCCATCCTTTGTCCTCCCCCCCAACACACACACACACACACACACACACACACACACACACAAACTCAGTAAGTAGGCCTGCTAGAAATATCAATTTATAAGGAATTATTCTCCTTAAGGACCTAACACAGGGAGGAGAAATTGACTCGGTGCTTCCCCCTCACACATCAATTGCATTTTCTCTTGTCTCCTCAGCTCCAGAAGTGCGAATCCACATTGCCGGAGCAGGCCTTCTTTGTCCTTCATAGAGAGTCCTCGGAATTTGTTTCATTCGAGTGTAAGAGTAATCGTGGAACCTACATAGGTGTAAAAGATAATCAGCTTGCTCTAGTGGAAGAGAAGAATCGGAGTAGTGAGAATATCATGTTTAGGCTCTCGCAGACTTAATGCAATAGAAAGCTCGAGATGCTCACAAATGCCATTACTGGAGGAGGGACAAGAATGCTGTAGAAGGTTTTGCTTCTTATGTGTGAAAATATTTTTTCTAATCCTTCATTTCTGTTTTGATTTCCTTCTGTACCACTACCTGTTTAATAAAGGTATGAATATATTAAGTATTGATTTTTTTTAAATGCTAACTTTTTAGAAATATATGCAGTTCTTTCTTTCAGTACAGAAATAATTTCACATTTAGTGCTGAGATCTCCGCAGAGAACCAAATACCGTTCCCAAGTTTCTCTTTTAAGATGGACCCTTTTGTAGAGCTGCATGGTTTTCCCTGATTCTAAACCTACTAAACAGGCTCAATCACTAGGCCTGCTAGTAAGAAGACTAGATGCTGCCTAGATTGATCATTATTTAACTAGACTACAAAACACCAAGTGTGTTTGCAGACGCCCTGGGCAGCACCCCCGTTAGCTCTTTCTAACTGCCAAGAGTTGTAGCACTTCTGGTCAGGCATGGTGTGTCACGCCTACACTTCCAGCACTTGGGAGACTGAGGAAGGAGGGCCCTGAGTTTCAGGCCAGCTTGGGGTACACAGTGAAAGCCTGTGTTCTTTTTGTCTAGCTTCTGCCCCTTATTTAGTCCTTGTGACCAACACATCTTTACTGTCCCTTGTATCTCATTTTACCTGATCTCTGCATGCCAATACCTTTTCTCTGCTTTGTTTACCTGACTTTGTACAATTTTAGATGCAAAACATTTTTATGTGAACAACTTTGTACTTCACTATTTCAAAAGTAAGAAAATTCATGCTCAACCATATAGCGACATTATTAACTATGAAAGGAATATTTTGTTTCAGTTTTTGCTTCTCTTAAAGCCTTAACAATTTCTACAGTGCTTAATAGGCTGAATACTTACAATAAATGACCAACATAATAACAGAAAACTTATAAAATATGGCCATTTCTGAAAATGTGAGCTTTTTAATTTCTAGTTTATTGAAACTACAGGATATAACTGCTGGTGAAACAAAGTAAAAGAGACTGAGAATTACTGTATAAAATTATATAATGATAGAACAGTATAACTTGGTTTCATTAACTTGTCAATAATTTTACTATGGAGACAAATAAAAACAGAATCTAATTATTCCTTCTGAAAAACAGTAGAAGTTAGACCATGTGCATCTATACAATAGACTGAAAATAATTACTACCCACCTAAACATATTCATTGTCTTGACTATGAACTATAATAAACCATTTTTCCAAAAGTATGTGTGTCAAGAGTGACTTTATCATAAGATGACTCAATATTCTGGAATTCTGAAGTGAAAGTAAGCAACCCCAATCTATAGATGTTGATATGTGGAGAAGGTTATCTGTGATAATGTGGGACTCAAAAGCTTTGATTTTTCAGGACTGTCGAGAGCTCAGCAGACTGAGCACCTGCTTAGGCAAGTGCAGGGACTGGAGTTCTATCCCCAGCACCAGCCCTGCCCCTGGGCATGCTGAGCCAGCCACTGAGACCAAGCATGGTGGCACACGCCTGTAATCCCAGCAGTGGGCAGGCTAAAAACAGGAGAATTACTATGAGTCCAAGCTGTGGAGTGAGACTCTGTGCCAAATACATAAAACAGGGCCAGCCAGATAGCTCAGCAGACTAAAGCACCTGCTTAGACAGGTGGAAAGACAGAGATTTGATCCCCAGTGTGCAGTGCTGGCCCTACCCCGGGGTACACAGACAGCAATTGAGACTGGGCATGGTGGCACGTGCCTGTAATTCTGGTGCTTGGGAGGCTGAAAACAGGAGAATCACTATGAGTCCAATCTGTGTAGTGAGACCTTATAGACCCTGTACTAAATATATATAAAATAAAATAAAAGATTAAATAATAATAAAGTGTGCTATAAATTATTGATCACAAACAACATGCGTCACTGGAGTTACTAGATCATGTTGCTTCAGATACTAGTTTTTTAAGCAACATCCTCACAGGAAATGTAACTTTGGCCTATGACTATGATTCCGAGACCAATGTTCAGAGTTCTCCACAGAAACCACCCAGTTTTTGTGCAAAAAAGGAGCATCAATCAAAAGGTGATGCTGACTGTGGGTTTTTGCCCCTGGTGGAATTATACCAGCCAAGAGTGTACCCAGGAACACTACAGAAACTCTGTATATTATAAAGGCTTATTAGAGGGTTTGAGAAACTATACATATAGAAAACAGACTGAGAAATGGGCACACAGCTTTCCCTGAATAGGCCAGTGCTTTGCGTCACACAGTGCTTCCAGTAGGGAAATTTGTCAGATAAAAACCGTACAGCGTATCCTCATTTACTTCGCTGACCAGATCTAGCACTCTGAGACATCTGGCTCTTCCCCAAGGAAAGGCCAATGTTTTGAATCAATTCAAGACTCTGAGGTAGTCACAAGAGCATAACTAAAGGCACTCAGGAAAGATGATTTGAAGAACTGCTTCAGACAGTGGCCAGAATGATGGGGTGAGTGTGTTCAAAACAAGGGGAAGTATTTTCAGGAGGACTAGTGGCAATGTGTCTTTTATTGTAATGTTTAAAATTTAAACATTCGACTCTTTGGTCATGGCTTGTAATTCATTAATAGTAAGTAGGCCAGAAAAACAAAAGCTGGATCTTGGAGGGAAATCAATAAAATTTGGCTAGACTGATCAGGAAGAAAAAGAGAAGGAACACAACTTACTAGTCTCAGTAATAAGGGATTTTATAACACGACAGATTCTGAAGATGTTAAATATATAAAGGTGAGCACTATGAATAATACAACAATAAACTTGACAACTTTAATGAAAATAGATGAAGTCCTCAAAAGACACAAGCTACAAAGATTAAATCCAAGAAGAAACAAACCTGTGTCACATGTGTGTTAGGTCTCTGCATTTGACTGTCCCACACTATGTAGGACAAGGGTCTCCCTTCACTAACAGAGTGGGTAGAAGGTATGAAGAATAGTTAACAGCCTAGTGCTGAATGGGAAAAAAATGGTTAATAGGACCTCATGGGGTGTCAGACTCGTGACCTTTTACCTTCATCATCCACATCGCGACCCATCCCCTTCCATGCTAGACCATAGATTTCAAGGTCTTAGTGACTCTCATTGACTGATAACTCCCTAGACCAGACCTCCGTCCTGAGCTGCAGGCCAGTGATGCTCCCTACTGACTACAGGACACCATCACTTAGATATGCTGCAGATTCTTCCAGTTCAGTACCACCCCAGCCAAATGGACTTTCCTTCTATCCCACGACCAAAGACACTCTCTTCTCCTCTGTATAACCATTTAACTCAGTGGCCTAGTACTTGCAACAGTTTATTATTAAATACTTGAAGCGATCAACTGGGCCATCAATGATTCTGGTTTGCTCTCTTCTGCTACTTGCTACTCTGTTCCCTAGTTCTGAAGTTCACCAACACTAGTGTGCCTAGGGATCACCTGGATCATTATTAAAACACATTTCCTGAGCCTCAACCACAGAGATGCTGACTCATTAGGTTGAGGTGTCACCTATAAATCTGTGATTCTTGCAATACTGCACGTGATATCAACGCTGCTGTCAGAAGGTCATACTTTGAGAATCCCTGTTCCAGATCATATAAGTGCATGGGCTCTGAGAGCCTGGACTTTAGATTTTTGTTCTGAATGATCGTTCCCTCTTGAGCAAGCCTTTCAGAACTCTGATACCTGTTTTATCCTGAGTGATGATACCTCTAGTAGCTTGTGTGCCAGATTTCTCAGTTTTACTGCCAAATCCAACTTGCTATCAATATTTACACTTTCCTAGTTTTCCCGTCTTGCCTAGCTTAAAGGTCCTGAGCTTTTCAGTGCTGCCAATGAGCCTAACATTTGCAAAGACTGAAGTCCAAAGTGATGGCAGTATTGTATAATGTTAAATTTGTCAAAGACAATCTTGTCAGATAAAAAAGTTATATTTTTAGTTATATAGGTCTTACTTTATGTTGGTCATGACCATCCAGCAGAAAAGTATAACCATGAGGTATAAAAAATAATGCCATATTCATATGCTGAGCTGTAAAAGGCTCAAGTCAACAACTTCTGCTAATTGGCAGTTCTGCTGATAACCCACTACTATTATGGACTATAGGACTGTATTGGGTTGTTTTGCTGAATTCAAGTACCTACAATATTTTAACTGGCATCAAGTATGAAAGGGTCCTTTAAAGACATCTCTAAATACAGCTTCTATAACAGCAATAGAACACCCCTCTCTGACAAAA